TATCTTAAAATATGTATTCAAATAGTAATTCAAAGTCCCTACTTAGAATGTGGTCCCATGTATTAACGACATAACCAACAATGGTTGTTGCGTAATTATTAGATTATTAAAATATTAGATTTTACCTATAGACAAAACTGTTATATCCTTGACAAACTTAAGGGTACAATATTTACTACAAATTTAAAAAATATTCACACTTACTAGAAGAGAACTTTATCTGCTATAGCATTTTTTTTTCATATAAATATCCACACTCAGAAATTTCTGATAGACAAATACAGAAAAAAAATATGATGCAGAATGAATAATTTGGATTGTTTTTAAGTTACTAAAAAAATTAAATTCGAATCTACTCTATTTGTTATATTGAGTTAACCTTAACAATAACTATAAAATGTAAAAAAGAAGCTCTGCTGTACAATACGTTACAAGCGGGTCACTGTATAATGGATGGTATTAAATTTGAATTCAAAGATATAATATCATTGTAAGAGAAAAGCGATTCTGAGCGGAGATGGTATGTCAGTCTAGTTTTAAGACATATTATATAGGTACATATCAATGGTAAAAAAAATATGCACAGTCTTATCATAGAGGATACTTCTTATTCATTATACTATAGTAGATTGTATGGATAGGCCATAATATTTTGATTTTTTGATTTTTCAGTTTCATATATCCCCGAATAATATTTTTAAATTACAACAAAATAACTAAAATAGTTATTCTAGGTTTTTTAATATGTAATTTCGTCCAAATTTGAATTTAAAATGTCTGTAAAAAATAACTGTGTTCATATATTTTTTAGATTTTTTGGTTGCAGTATGAACTATTTATGAGAACCTTTGTTTTAAATTTGCAATCCTTAGCTATAAAAACTGAACATTTTATAATTTATTAATTACAATGATTGATAATTTTCGAGATTTTGATAAATTTTGTCAAAATTCGATCTTTAAATGCTTATAAAAAAAAACTGTGCCTATGTATTTTTAATATTTTTCAACTGATATTGTAACAATATATCAGGAGCCTTGTATTAAATTTTTACACTTTTTGGCCCAACAGATAAAACTTTATTGATATTTATAGAAAAAAAAACTAAAAAAATTGAAAGCTGTAAATATCCATAAACAGCTCAAAAAGAGTCAAAATATTTTCAAAATTATATGGTGTATAGAAAATGCTAATATAAACATTCAGTGAAATTTTCATGTATCTACAGTTATTCGTTTTGAATTACAACAAAATAAGGAAATCGCTACATGAGAAATCGAGTGAACATCCAATGTTGTAAAAATTTGAATTTCAAACGCTCATAAAAATTTAATTTGACTTTCCGGTAGATATTTTTTTATTGATAAAGGTAGACAAACTTATGAGTAATCTTGTATTACATTTTCAAATCTTAGATTTAAAAAGAAAAATTTTTACGAATTCTTAACTCAAAATAATTCGCTAATTTTCGTGATTTTTCCATATTTTTACAATTTTTGAACATTAAATGCTTATAAAAAAAATTGTGACTAAGGATTTGTAATATTTTTCATCTGCCTTTGAAACAATATATTAGGAGCCTTCCAGGGCCTAAAATTGTGTGCAGTAGCACACACTATGTGCAGTAGCTAATATTAAATGTGCAGTAGCAAATTTAAAAGTGTGCAGTACTCATTTTTGGTTTTATACATTTTTATTTGATTAATATTCAATATTGATTATTGAAAACTGGTAATTAGCATAATATTGTATTCGTTTAAAATCCTTAACACTAAAAATAATACCTACTACATCATATTCTGGGCGGCTTATAATATAATAATTATATTAACCTATAGGTATATAGGTATCAAGGAATTATATAGAAGATTGTTTTAGATTGTATTTATTATAACTAATTATTAATGAATAACAAAAACAATTATGCAATGAAGTTATATGTGGCATGTGGCATGTGCACTACTAGGTGCATTATATTAAAATATTTTGGTGGGGAATAAGGTGTGCAGTAGCAAAATATCTTAATTATAGGCCCTGGAGCCTTCTATTAAATTTTCAAGCTTTCGCAACCAACAAATAAAATTTTATTGATATTTTTAGAAAAAAAACTAAAAAGAGATGGAAAATGAAAATGTCCCTAAACAGTTCAAAATAAATCAAAATATTTTGAAAACGTTATCGTGTATATAAAATGCAAATATAAACAACCAGTGAAAATGTCATGTATATACGTTCATTTCTTTTAAAGTTACACCAAAAACCAAAATCTATTTTTTGGAAAACTGATTTTGCGTAAAAATTCCCGTTATTCCTTAATTTTTATGTGTTTAATCCCGGCGCTTGTGAAAACTATTGGGAATTTTAAAATTTGACCTCCCGAATGCACCAACTAGATTCACTTTCCAATCGAACAAGATACTGAAATTGAAAATCGAAGCATTATTTCGACTACTTACGTGTACACAAACACAAAAATGAATAAAAAAAAACACACATCATTGTAAAATCAATACATTCATCGTTCCACTCAGAATATAAAAGCTGCTCTGCTGTACAGTAGGTTACAAGTGGGTAACTCTATAATGGATGGCATTAAATTTGAATTCAATTTTATTTCATCCAAATTTGAACTTAAAATGACTAGAAAAATAAACTGTGCTTATGTATTTTAGATTCTGAGTGAAACGATGAATGTATTGATTTTACATTGATGTGTGTTTTTTTTAAAATTTTTATTTTTGTGTCTGTGTACACGAGTAGTAGTAGAAATAATGCTTCGATTTTCAACTTCAGTAACTTGTTCGATGGGAAAGTGAATCTAGTTAGTACTTTTACGAGGTCAAAATAGTTTTCACAAGTGACAAGATTAACAAAAGAAAAATTAAGGAAAAACGGGAATTTTTACGCAAAATCGATTTTTCACAAAATTGAATTTGGTTTCTGGTGTAACTTTAAAACAAATGACTGTAGACACTTGAAATTTTCAATGTGTGTTTATATTTGGATTTTCTATACACTATAACATTTCAAAATATTTAGATTTATTTTGAACTGTTTAGGGACATTTTCATTTTCCAATTTTTTTCAGTTATTTTTCTAAAAATATCAATAAAATTTTATTTGTTGGTTGCGAACGCTTGAAAATTTAATAGAAGGCTCCTAGTATATTGTTTCAATGGCAGATGAAAAATATTAAAAATCTTTGGTCACCATTTTTTTTATAAGCATTTAAAGTTCAAAAATTGACAAAATATAGAAAAATCACGAAAATTAGCAAATTATTTTGAGTTAAGAATTCGTAAAAATTTTTCTTTTTAAATCTAAGGTTTTAAAATGTAACACAAGATTTCTCATAAGTTTGTCTACCTTTATCAAAAAAAAAATGTCTATAAGAAAGTCAAATTAAATTTTTATGAGCGTTTGAAATTCAAATTTTTACAACATTGGATATTCACTCGATTTGTCATGTGGCGATTTCCTTATTTTGTTGTAATTCAAAAACGAATTACTGTAGATACATGAAAATTTTACTGAATGTTTATATTAGTATTTCCTATACACCATACAATTTTGAAAATATTTTGACTCTTTTTGAGCCGTTTACGGACATTTTCAGTTTTCAATTTTTTTAGTTTTTTTTTTCTATAAATATCAATAGTTTTATCTGTTGGGCCAAAAAGTGTAAAAAATTAATACAAGGCTCCTGATATATTGTTACAATAGGAATTGAAAAATATTAAAAATACATAGGCACAATTTTTTTTTATAAGCATTTAAAGATCGCATTTTGACAAAATTTATCAAAATCTCGAAAATTATCAATCATCGTAATTAATAAATTATAAAATGTTCAGTTTTTATAGCTAAGGATTGCAAATTTAAAACTAAGGTTCTCATAAATAGTTCATACTGTAACCAAAAAACCTAATAAATATATGAACACAATTAGTTTTTACAGACATTTTAAATTCAAATTTGGGCGAAATTACATATTAAAAACCTAGAATAACTATTTTAGTTATTTTGTTGTGATTGTATAATATTATTCTTGGGTACTTGAAACTTCTAAAGTACACTATTATATATCTATGGTAGTATCACGGTTTTTTTTGTATGTATAAAGCGTTATAAGTGCCTTATGGATATTGTGATATGATTAATTTGGAATTTATTATAGGTAAATTTTTTTTAATACGATACATAAGTATAAAATATGTCTTATACCTAGACTGACATACCATTTAAGCTCTGAATCGTTTTTCTTATACAATGATATTATATCATTGAATTCAAATTTAATACTAGCCATTATACAGTAACCCACTTGTAACCTACTGTACAGCAGAGCACCTTTTTTTAAAATTTTTTTTCTCTATAAATGTCAAAAAGGTGTATTTGTTTGGTCAAAAAGCTTGAAAATTTAATACAGTGATCGACTCTCGGTAACTCAAACCTTGGTAACACGAAATTTTCCATATCTTGAATAATTAAAATTCCCCTTCAAATAACAATAACACTTAATGTTTAAATAATCTTGTTAACTCAAAAATTAATTCGACAAGTTTTCGATATCTCGAATTTTCTTCTCCAAATTGAGTACTAAAAATAGCTTATCAAGGCGATTATTTTTCGTAAAACCCGATCATTTTAGTCAACTACATACATATTTGTAATTTAAACCCTGATAACTCCATACAATAGATATCAGTTTTAGTTCTATGCCGTTTGTTCGTTTAATCATTTATCGTGTGAGTGTCACAGTGTTAATGTGTTAATACAGTGGTTATTACTGCTCAAAAAAGAAAATTAACATCTTTATCACTTGCAGAAAAAGTGAACTTGCTTAAAATTATTCAAAAATGCAAAAAAAAAAAAAAACAAGATATAGCCAAAGATTTTGGAATTCCGGCAAGTACATTCTTATTCTCATTTCTACAACAATAAAAAATAAAGATGCAATTTTAAAAAACTTCAATGAAAACTCGGCAACTTGAAAAAAAATGAAATTAGGAGAATACTCTGACATAGAATCATGTTTATTAAAATGGTTTCAACAATGTCTTGACAGAAAAATTCCAATAAATGGACCTATTCTACGAGAAAAAGCTGAAGACTTTGGACATAAGTTAGGCCATGAACATTTTAAAGCCAGCAGTGGATGGTTAACAAATTGGAAAACCATACATAGTGTTGTTTTTAAAGAAGTTTGTGGTGAAAGTGGCGCTGTAGATGTACAAAAATGTTCCGGATGGATGAATAATTTACCGAAACTCATCGAAAATTATTCACCAGACGATATTTTTAATGTAGACGAAACAGGATTATTTTTCAAATGTTAACCTGAAAAAACATTCATATTTAAATGGCCTTTAAATTGTTCATTCTAAATCTTGTTCAGGTGGAAAACATAGTAAAGAATGAGTAACACTTCTGTTAGGGGCAAATATTATGTCGGGCACAGAAAAATTAAGACCACTTCTGATTGGTAAGTCGAAAAAACCACGATGTTTTAAACAAGTATAATCATTACCATTAGATTATTATGCGAACAAAAAATCCTGAATGAGGTCTGAAATTTTTAATTTGTGGTTAATGAAATTAGATAAAAAAATGGACTCCGAGAAAAGAAAAATCTTACTTTTTATTGATAATTGTACTGCACACAATTTAACTTCGACTTTTGATGCTATTAAAATGCATTTTTTACCTCCTTATAATACGTCTGTAATACAACCATTAGACGAAGGCATAATAAATAATTTTAAAATATTTTACAGAAAAGAAATGGTAAAAAAATTGTATCGGCTATAAATGATACCAATCAAATTGTACTAAACATATTGGATACTATACGGCTATGCTATAAAGAATGGCGACACGTAAAAAAATAAACAATCGTAAACTGTTTTACAAAATCAGGTTTTAGAACCTCGACTGAAAATATTTCTTATGAACCATCTGATGATAATAACGATGAATGGGATCAATTAACTGAGAAAATAAATCATAATGAAACTTTAACGTCATACGTCAATGTCGATGAAAATTTGGTGATTTGTGGAAAATGGACTGAGAACGATATTATCTCCGATATGTTGGACGAAGATAACGAAGAAGAAATTGAAGACCAACAAATACAATCCACCATTACAAATAAAGAAGCGACACTTGCATTAGAAACATTACGTAAATATATTGAAGGCAATGAAGGTATGGAAGATTTATTTAAACCACTAGGAATTTCAGAAAATAAAATTGAGAACAATGTTTTAAATAAACAAAAACAATTAACTTTACACCAATTATTTAAAAATGATAGATAATATGTAAGTAGGAATGTATAGTTAAAATGTAATGTATTAATAATAATATATAATGTATTTTATAGTATTTCTTTATTGTAAAATTATTTAAAAATAAACATACTTTTTAAAGGTTTTTGATAACTCAAAATTTTTAGTAAGTTGAATTTTTTTTCCCCTTGAACTTCGAGTTACCGAGAGTCGACTGTATAAGGCTTCTGAGTTCTGATGTAATGTTTCAATAGCAGTTAAAAAAGCAATATTAAAAATACATAAGCACACATTCTTTTTATAAGCATTTCAAGTTCGAATTTTGGCAAAATTAATCAATTTTAAAATTTAAAAACGATTTTGTAGGTACCTAGTTAAAAATTTATAAAATTTGCAATTTTATAGCTAAGGCTTGAAAAGGAAGACAAGGTTCCGTGTGAATAGGCAAATAAATTAGGTACTTTTATTATTATAAAATTGTTATTCTCTAATAATTGCGGTTTAATTTATCTTCCGCATGAGAAACGAAACAAACTTGATTGATGTATATATTTTTTTTAACACGAATCTACAAAGTTTTCTGATATTGTTTAAAAAAGGTATCGCGATATTAGAACGACGGTTCTCAATCTTTTTAGCCTGTGGTACCTACGTTGGACAAAATTCTGAAATTCAACAGTAGTCTCTTTCTGTGAATACTACCATGAACAGATATAAAAAAGAACATGAGTTCTCAATGATTTTTAATTTAAGGTTCATGTTAAAAATATCAGCTAAGTATGACAAAACTGAATAAAGATGATCGCATATAGGTACAAATGTGTGAAGGTGAATAATAATTGGATAAACGTTAAAAATAATTGGACAACAAGTTCGGAAACAATAAAAGATAATTAGATGAATAGTTCATTATTAAACTATTATTGATATATAAATAATTAGGCTTAGTAGGCGCACATTCAATTTGAAATCAACAAAATTGAATTGGAAATAATATTAATTTTTTTTCGCATGGGCTGTAATCACCTAGGGTAGATACAGTAATACACAATTTGGACCTCTGAACTAGAACCTACCTATGTATAGTTAGGTAGGTACTTCAATAAAATAAAATTGTAATAGCTCAATCTCACCGTATGTTCATCTTTTAAACTGATGTCTGGAGCAAACTGACTTTCTATATCAGTTTTTAGTTCAGAAACATTGAAGTTTTCAATATTACGTAGTTTTACCATGATTGTAAATCCTTGTCCATAACGATTTTTCAAATATTGTATATTACCAATACATTTTAATAAACCACCCACCATTATTGTCAAACGGTTGCAAAGTGCTTCACATTCATCCATACTATTTATGGAAATCAAATAAGAATTAAATTTCAATATAGGTATTGTTTACACAATGTTTTTACCTATGCGAAGTAAGTATAATGGCTTGTCCACCTCTTTGACTAGCAGCTAATAATTGCCATAAATTACGCCTTGCCACGGGGTCTACTCCGCTGGTTGGCTCATCCAAAAACACAACAGGGGGATCTCCAATTAATGCCATTGCAGTGTTTAATTTTCTCTTATTTCCACCACTATATGTCCCACAGAGTCGATCTTTATGTTCTTCAAGACCTATAACAATGATAATAATAATGAAATTGGTGACAAAAACATTACTAATACCTAGTACGTTAGTACCCATACAAATGTTGACATTTTCAAGAAAAACAGTTTACGATTTGGTTGTAGAGATATTTTTTAGAAAAAAAAATTGAAATGACGTAATGTGAAAAGTTATAATTTTTCAAAAATATGTTTATTAATATTTAATATTCAGTACCTAACTCAAATAATGAAATGAAAGTTACACTGTATTCTTTACGATAGTACAGCTACGATGGTTATAATATGTATATCATTTGCCTCATGCTAAGTTACTTTTGACTGGAAGTACCTAAGTCACATTTGCATATTTTTTCTGGCTAACTTAACTGTATGCTTAGTAAGTAGGTACCTACACAATACATTATTGATTCTACAACGTTTGTGATCAAGTTTTTAGTACATATTTTTGCATATTTTGAAATTGTTCTGTTCAAAAGACATACCTATTTTTGATTATAAGAACATATTTTAATTTTGTAATGCATATTTTGATAGTTTATCAAAAATAAAGCACTTTGGTAAATATTTTTTCATCATCAATCAAGTTCAACTAATATTAAACTGTGCATTTTTCATAAAGATAGAAACTAATTTTTATCCTTATGTTAAGTGGGTAGATTAGTTAACAATATTTTCTTATACATTAATAGTATAAAGAATAAGAAATATGCTCAATGATAAGACTACACATATTTTTTTAAGGGGCAATGTATAATATTTTATATAGGTAATTTTATGCAACCAACAAATAATAAACACAAGGTGACGTCATGCCTAGAACCAAGACGAAAACACGGCTTGTATTGAGCATACTTATTATTCCTTTTACTATGAGTACAAGTACATAGACAATTGAATTAAGTAAAATAATTTAAATATTTAGAGAAAAAATGTACTCTTTTAGTTTCATATGGGTGGGTAATTTTTGTTTTAGGGCATATTTTTAGTTTTTTGATACATAAGTGCATACTTTAACTGCATAAAATATAATTTCCTAGCTCTACTTATGAGCTGATATGACTAGATGGTAAAAAAATAATTATTGTCATTTAGTTTTAATGTGAAAAATTTTGTAATGGTGTCTTGGACATGGCGTGTAAACAAGGATAACATAATGGAATAAACAGGCTTCCTCACTATTAATTTTTATCTTTACAAAGAATTCAAAACCAAATCAATTATAACTTATAAAATTATATAATAATAATAATTATTATTATTTAAACTAATTCATTAAACATTCTATAATAAATCAATATACAAGAAAATGGAAATTAATGAAAACTACTAGGTAGATAATTTTTTTAAGGCCAAAAGCTTACAAGGATTATATTTTTATAGTTCTAATTATAATAAAATAAAATACAATAATATATTTTTTGTTCGATAATTTATGTATTAAGAATATTTATTTATCTGACGTATTGACTAAACAATCTTTATTTGATTTGATCAGTCTACCAACTATTATTATATAAATACAATCTTATTATTTCTACAAATAGGTATTATAGGTAACTGATGATTAATAAATTTAATAAAAGTTCCTATTATAGTAATATTTTACTTACCTAAAAGTCTAATCCATTTATCAACATGGTTTTTGGTGTTTGCTGGCGAAATTCCTCTCAAAATTGCCATTAGTTTTAAAGTTTCTATTGCAGTAAGTTGATCATTTATCGCATCGTATTGAGGACAATAACCAATCAAAGAAACATACTATACAGCATTATTAATTAATTCATACAATCATTATTAATCGTAATATTGTATTCTATTTTTTTTATTAACCTGATTTATGTCAGAGCTGAGTTTGTACAACTTATCAGTAAGAATAGAAGCTTCACCTTTTGAAGGAAATATATCTCCAGTTAAAATTCGAAATGTAGTTGTTTTACCTGCGCCATTCACACCGAGTAAGCCAAAACATTCACCAGGGAAAACAGCAAAACTTATACCCCTTACACCGGTGAAATTAAAACTAAACTTTTTAACTATGTCATCAACCACCAATAATGGTGATGAAGCACTATCTAGAATGTAAACATAAAATGTATTAAATTGACATTCGTTTACTTTACAAAAATGTTTTATTACTTGATTGAGTTTTAGTTGCATTAACTTTGTCTCTTTCACTACCAACATCTGGATCTTCATTAGCATCTCTATAACTAACACCAGTGCCATAGATTTTGTTGAATACATACTGATATAACCGACGAAATATTTTATAATCAAATAATAGTATAATGGATATGTAGAGTATGCTACTAAGTAATAAAAATAAAGTTTCTTCTAGTAGACCATTAGGATCTTCATCAGATTGGAAAACAAAATAACTTTTACGTTCAGAACCAATAGCTAAAATATTAAAATTATCGATAGTTGATATGTAAAAAAAAAAAAAAGAAAAGAATTTACCTTTACACACTTCAATCATTTTAGGTGATTTACATATTTTACACATGTTGTTTTCCCATGTTATTTTTAGAAATCCCGATAAACACAATGGAAATGAAAAATGTGGAATAATTAAAATTATTAACCTTATTATATTCAGTGTGTTAAAGTAATTTGTTTTATTTAACAGTCTTATATAGTCGTTCACCATAACCAAGATAATATTTATAAATATTCCTGTAAACATATTAATCTTAAAATTATCAACAGCGTAATAGCTAATAACTTCTGAACTTGAAATATATATATAAAATACCTAAAATATAATTAACTGCAATATACAGTAACATGGCGCTAACTAGTGTATTTGCTAAATAGCTATAAACATATGCATAGAGAATTGCACTCCACCCATAAATAAATAATAATGTTAATAGACCACCTGTAAGAATCATATTTTAATTATACATTGATTTAAACTTAGTAATAGATTAACTTACCAACTTCATTTAAACCAGTAAATATGTCGTTTATATCCGTTAAATACATAACGGCCAATGTTAATAAAACCACAATTATGTAACAAAAATAGTCCCAAATGAAACAAGTAACCCAATACATGATTGGTGAAAGTTTGGTCATCATTTGTAAGTGTTTGATTCCACTTACTCTTTCATTTAATGGTAACGCTATAAAATATCCTATTAAATACAGTAAACCAGGCGTGAAAGTAATCATCCAAAGAAATACGAACGAAGTATCTAGTCCTTCATCACATGTTCTCTAAAAAAAAAAATGATTGTATCTCGACTGTATATTTAATTATGACAAATACCTTACTGTACTACTCATTTCAATCGGTTCATTAACAGTTGTAATATATGATTCATAATTTCCGGACAGCTTTTGTAATAGTGCATTAGAATAAAGATTTACTGCAATTGCTGGAGTATGAATAGCTATATTATTGTAAAAGACAGTTGATTTTGTTTTGTTAAAGTCACCAGCAATCATAAGATTTGTTCTGTAATTTAATACATCTTTTTTGCACATTTTTAATAAATCTATAAAACAAATATTTCGTTTTTAATTATATTTTTGATTTAAAAAAAAATTATGAATAAAAATTCAAATTTTCTAACTAAATTTGATGTGTTTAAGTCTTATTGTCTATTGTACAATATTGTAGATTCTGAGTTACAATATATTGTAAACAAATTCTGGTTTTACTAAAGTGGTATGACTTTTGTTAATGTAAAATATATTTAGCCATTACAAAAAAAAAGATATTTATTGCCTTAAAAATGTACCTACCTATATCTCCTCTGTAGTCTGTATAACTTCCATTTTTATACTGCATAGTTTTGTATTGAAATACAATTTAAAATGTCACTAGTTCTTTTAATTTTAATAAATTTATATTTTAAGTAATATAATTTTAACATTAAATATTAATTCTACAGACTAAAACATTAAAATAAATTAAAAAGTAAGCATATTATGATGATAATGGGAAAAGCTATTGAAAACTCACATTATACTCTGTCCAGCGAAAGAACTGCGCATCCCCCACATCTCCTTCCTATCAAAACCAGTTCCCTTACGGCAGGGTGTTGCGTAGGGCAGAGTTTCTGAACCTGTGGTACGTAAGGTTTAAGAGGGTACGTGAAAAAAAAATCGTAATGACGGAAAAAATTACAATTGTTGTATTTTAAATGGTTAGTAATTTGTGAAATATTTAATAATATGGCACAGGACACTCGATTTTATCTTATAGGGTTACGTAACGTTGTTTAATACAATGTCAATCATTTGTCTATTAAACATCCATTAACCATTTTTATCTCATATACATCACTCTCTGTTAGTTCGATATCGAAATCTATTCTAATAATTAGACTGTCGCTTGCTTTCAGTGTGTCCGTGTCACATACTACGCAGGTGCATAAAAATCTTTCGTAATTATTATGTTTTGATATTTTATAATATTTTCGACTATGGATCATTGGTTAAAAACTGGTAGTTTTAGTAAAAGGAAAACTACAAAACCAACCGATTCTCAAGACATGCCGTCATCGGTTACTAATCCAGCCGAAGAATACTTCCCAAAATGTGAAAAAGGAGACCACTGGATAGCATTCCCTTTTAGTGAAAAATATTTCGAATCTGCAGTTTTATCAGTACGAGAAAAAGAAAAACTTATTGTACTGAAGACGAATTCTTCGCTTGAGGTAATATTTGAAAAAATTCTCTCATCGCTATTTGGGCTGACGTAAAAGAAGAGTATCCTGAGCTTTCAAACAAAGCATTTAATGTTCTAATGCCGTTCACGAGTACTGTATTGGTGGAGAGGGCCTTCTCGTCGTACACGTACATTAAAAATAAGAATCGTAATACGCTCTCTGTGAGTTCAGATTTACGAGTTTACTTATCAACCGAGGAGCCAGATTTCAATTAGTTATGTGCCAGCAAACAAGCCCAAGGGTCTCATTAAAATTAAATTGTAAAGTTAATATTAATTTTATATCTTTATATATATATATAGATATATACACGTACATTGTATAGCTAATTAAATTAATTAATAAATATTTTTTTCAAATTTTCCATCATCGAACTTATTTCATAATATCTGATTTTGTGGTATGTATGAATATATAATACATTTACATTTGGAGGTACGTAAAGCAGTGGTGAGAGGTCAAGGGCTACGTAAATGAAAAAAGGTTGAGAAACGCTGGCGAAGGGGAACCAGTTTTGGTCGGTACGCGGTGCGTTATCTCGCTGAACAGACCATAGGTAGGTACCTAATAAATAATAATACAATTATTTGAAACAATACCAAATGATCATAGTGAAAGAACATAAATTGTGGTAATAATATACATGAACCTAAGGAAATAATAATATTTTTATTATAAACTAAATTTAACTTATGACAAAACAGTAAAAGAAGATGGTCTAGTCATATTTTTATTTGTATATCCAATGTACTTAATACATACAAGATACAAAATTGTAGAAACCTATATTTAAATATAGAACCAACTTCAAAGTTTAAGCTGTAATATAATAGAGGTAATATACATAAGTAGAAATATAACTATGATAATCTTTTAATATCCATGGTTAAATATATTATATTGATAACAATGAAATTCTCATTTGTCACCTACCAAACTCAGTTTGTTACTAAGTTGATTCAATTTTTTTTTAAATTATGTCCTTCATATTATTACTATAACACATGACCGCAATTTTAATGTAAAATATATTTTATTTTATAATTGCAATATTCTGGAAAATTAGAACTGTTTATGACATAAATCCACTATACCTAATATACCTTTTACTTTTTATTACACTTATTTTATTACGAATTAAGGTAATATACAACCTATATGAGCAATGATTATATTAATCTTACCATTAACTATATTGTTTACTGATGATACTTCATTGACAGTAGCTTCATTTTTTTTAGAAATGGTTACAAATGTTGGCTCCAAATTTTCGGGGGAATTATCTCCAGCACGGTAATATACACTGCTACCTTTGTAGGTGCTTAATGATATTTTTAAGCCTTTAGATACAATGGATTCATTGATTGAACTATTAGTTAATTGCATAGTTAACAAGCCCAACAGAATTGGTCCAATTCCCTAGAATAATAACGGGGATAAAATTAGTTGTTAAATGCCACTTGTTTGTCACCCTGCTAGCACATCATATTATTATATTTATAATACATCAGACAGCAGACATTCTTAGTAAGGAACTTTATGGAAATTGTAATGCGTACCTATATACTAACTACTGAGTATAATTTTAAGTATTTATTGTGCTTCAGTTATTTGTAAACAATAATATATTATGTATTTTAGATTTTTGAGCAGAGCTGATAAATGTTTATGAGTATTTAGTTTTTTTTTGTCGTCATGTTTTGTACAAAAAAAAAAATATATAATCTTCAACTTTAGGCTACGTTCAGTTAGCAAATTGGATGTACTTGATATTTTAAGAAGTTAAAAGTAAAATAATATTCCATACCTACTTTTCTTTATAATTGGGAACAATGGGAATAATATACATTGTACATAGTAATACTGTTTGACAAAAGCAATTTTGTTATTTGTCCGTAATCCAAAAATAAAAATCATATATTATAAGAACTAGAAGTTCTCACTAAATATTTAAAATGATAATTGTAACCATTTTATTCATTATTGAGCTCTTTATGATAGATATACATTTTAAATTTATGATTTTTTCACTAACTTTGTGGTGGCCAATAACAAACCAGTACAAATAGAAAATATATTTATAACTTACAAAAAATAATGATGGAACCCATCTCCTGTATGTATAAATTGCTTTTTTTTCCAACAATACTTTAAACCGATTTTTCATTAAACTTATTTTACTTGTATACTCTGGAATAAATACTAAAAAACATAAACGATAGTTAATGATCAGCATTTAGTAATAACTAATAAGTTACAATATATAATATATATTAAAGAATATTAAATAAGTATTGCTTCGAATTATAGTTCTATTGATTATGTTTATAAAATTTGAATTGATAAAATTAATGAAATTAACAAGATACCTAATGCATTTCTCACTTTATTTTATTACATTTTAATGTGATGTATATAGACAAGTTTATATAATTTTATGAAATAAAAAATAAAAATATCATAACAGTTTTATTGTTGTTTTTTTTAACAATCATTCTTGTATATTTTTTTCCTGGACTTTTCTGAGATTGTATTGTTGAACATCAATTAAAATTTTGTATATCAATAATTATTGTTTTTTCTCATTTAAATATTACCTTATAGCTTTTAACAATATGAAAAGCTATATATCAAAATATATATTAGGAATGAAGGAAATACATTTCAAATATTACATTACACAGTACCAACAAGCGCCTTCAATGTAAATAATATATTAGGTAGGTACTTATAAACTGTATACTTGATTATAGTTCTTGTTTGATTTTACATTTTTGAAATACACTAAATGACTAAAATAACAATATAATATCAAATATTATATAATACTTTCACTATAAAAATGTAAAACTGATGTTAACGTTTCATGTTTGGGTAAATCCCTAAAGTGGAAATGTTCAAGGAGTCAAGAACTATCAGGGATTGTTCATGTATCAATGTAAGTATAATAAGCTGTTGTAAATATCAAAAAGTATACACATAATGTTTTATTTATTAGGTAACAATGAAATCATCATATAAATAATCAAATAAATAGATTATTCATTAAGAATGCAGCATTCAATTATTATTTTAATTTAAAGTCGTATAAAGAGTGAAGTTTACTAGAAACTTTAATCTGCTTACCTACAGTATATTTAATTTTATTTCAGAATTTCATAAAAGTACTGAATTTAAAATATTTACTTTGTGTGACATCATTATTATATAGTTCTTTTGGTTCATCTTCATCAACTCCAGTTATGACTGAACTATGAACTAACATATCATCTTCACTATCTGGTAAATTTTTTTCAGCTCTAAAGTAAATAAACATTTTTTTTCTCAATAACAAGTCGAACAGTGTAATGTCTTAATTATTTCTTATACTGGTGACAAACTATATTAAATTATATTTATTTAAGTGTACTTATTATAAAATCCTTTCAATGAAAATTAATAGTTTCATTAAAATCAGTATAAGTTTAATTAAAATTGAATATTAATGTTATAGAAAGTTGGAAATATAAACTAAACGATAAACTGAATAAAATTATTTAAATATTTACTAAAAATCAAGTGAACTATTATAAAGTAGGTTTGTAAGGCTCGAATGTCCAGTAACCAATAATGATACAGATAGGGGTTAGGTTAGAAATGTCTGCCAGTTGAAAGAAATACTATTAATTTATCTATTGGATGATGCCAGAAAATTTAGAATTTATAGAGTAAAATCTATCATAAAAAAAATTAAAATTAAAAATATAATAATAATTAAATGAGTGAAAATTTAATACATAGTTTATACATGATTTATCTGTACTTGAGTACTTCATAAAATGTATGGTAATATTAATATTATTACATTAACCTTACAAAAATAACATACTCCATTTGTCTTAAAAATAAAGGACCCCACACACATTTTACCTATTATAAACCTAAATGGTAATCTTATTATCCATGAAACAAATTATGACCTTTTTGAAACTGTAAATTTTTTGTACATTTTAAAACAATCATAACTTACTTAAATAATAATATCATTAAAATCCTCTGAGATGACCTAAATAATTATTTTACTTTTATATTTTATAATGGGTAAATTTACTCTAGTTTTAAAAATAACAGAGTAAAATGCATTTTTGTTAACTTAAACTTTGTTACCTATATTGTACGTTTGTGAGACGGATTACTGATTTTGTAAAAAGATTACTTTAGAAAAACTTCTTCCATTGTTGTACTAGATATACCCATTCCTTTTATAGAAAATGTTTCTCTATTACGTTCTAATATTTCAAATAGTTCTGGAAATTGATCAGTATTTTCATTTGGTAAATTAATGACAACTTGAGCAGTCACTGAACTTTGAATTTCTGCTTCTGGTATAATGTTTTTAATTGCTTCTATAATTTTAGATTCATCGCATGGTTCTTCTTTTACAATTGTTAAATTATAACCGGTACCTGATCATTTTTATGAAATGTATGATTATTTTGTAATGCTTCAATTGATTAATTTTATTCCTACCATAAGCTTTTTTTAAAAACAATGTAGAGCCATAACATTTAACTTGTCCATGGTCCATGATTGCAATCCTGTCACCAAGGACATCAGCTTCTTCCATAAAATGTGTTGTTATCAATATAGTTCTCACTCCTCTAAAAGACTAATAAAGTTAGAAATCTAGTTAAAAATGTATCAGAGAGAGGGAGTTTTAGAATACATTTTAAATACAAATATTTATGGTATAATAATAATTTATTTTTACCCAGTTCAGACGTCTTAAAAATATTATTAGTAAAATAAGTACCTATAGGTATTAAAATTTTAAATTATAATGAACAAAGTCAATTCAAATAAAGAGATACATTTAAAATAGGTGTCTGGGCAGATGATGTAAAACTAAACAAATCATCTAATATTTACTAATAAACAAAAAATAGGTACGCAGTAAATAATTTTTTTTAAAAAGGAATTATATGCATTTTTTGAATTTGAACTTTGGATTCTGAGCAAAACTATGAATGTATTGATTTTACACAATAATGTTGGATTTTTTATTTTTATTAATTTTTATTTTACTTTTTTGTGTCTGTCAACACTGTTTGGGGCAATAAAACTGCTTCGAATTTCTTTAACAGTATCTTGTTCGATGGCAATACACTGCACTGATTTTTAGTTACCGATACTTTCTTACGTACCGACTGATATTTAAAGAAATACTGGTAGGTATTGTGTGCTGATAACCGGTAGACTAGCAAAATATTATGATTATTGAGTGGCAACTCTATAACTTTCCTCTGTGGCTCTACCCTAGTAATTTGAAGAAAGTACCACATTGGTAGTTAATCAAATGATCTTGATTTACAATAGCTGTCATAATTAATTTTTACATATTGAATTTACTTATTACCAACTTATTAATATATACATTAAAAATTATACAAATGGTAACATAATAAAATTGTAAAATTAAATGACAAAACCATGTTGAAAATGAAATAAATTGCAGTAAAATATCTATAATTTTTTTATTCCTTTTTATTAGTATAAAAATAATTGTATTTAATATATTTATTTTAATTAAAGTTTAATGTCAAAAATTATTTTTAATTATTAATAGTTTAATATTTTTGAAAAACAAATAAATTGTTTAAAGATTAATGCGTTGCTTATTAGGTATATACAACTAAGCATATACATTTAAATCAATACTAAAAAAAATTTCTTATTCTACCCATTTTCTACAATTACCTAGATCTCATCTATAGTTACATTTTCTACTGTAAATAAAAGCAAATTAAACATATTATACAAACTAAAATCTAATAAATAAAATTTAAAGAATTAAAGATAAATTAATTATCATACAATAAGTAAGTCCCACATTTCTCTTCGGGATTCAGGATCCATTCCAGATGTTGGCTCATCTAATATAAGTATCTGAAAATCAAATTATGATTGTTTTACCTAGTTACTCATAAATGTAAAATACAACATAACCCATATGTAGTAAAACAATTAATGTCTTACTTTAGGATTTCCAGTTAACGCAATTGCAAGAGAAACCTTTCTTTTCATTCCTCCAGAAAGATTACTCACTAGGTCTGATCTCTTATGCAATATATTTAAAAGTTTAAGCAACTGCAAGCCATTTGATTTTGCATTTTTAAATGTCAAACCTTTTAACTAAATTAAATTACACAAATATTAAAACGTCTTTAACATTTATAAATTAAACATTTAAAACATACCATTCCAAAAAATATTAAATGATCAAGAGTAGTCAAATAAGAGAAAAGTAAATTATGTTGAGGACATAAACCGAGATCTTGTCTAAAATTGTCAATGTCTTTAAATAAATCATTCCCATTAACATATACCGTACCATATGTTGGGGATAATAACCCTTTAATAAATAAATAAAATTCATATAATTGTGTAATAATTATCGTTATAAAATATAAAAACCACCTGTTATAATTGACATTGTTGTTGTTTTCCCAGCACCATTGTGACCTAAAAGAGCAGTAATTTGCCCTTTATATAGATCCAAATTTACTCCATTAACTGCATGAAAATTTCCAAAATGTTTATGTAAGTTTTGTACACTAATTCCAACTTCATAATTGTTTGGAGGTTTTTCGAAAAGCCTACTGTTGCTTATACCGATGGGAGCCATTACAATATTTTCGGTCTTGTTTTTCGACCATTTACACAAGAAGTTAAACGGTTTTGCTATACCAAATCTTCCTGGCTTGACTGAATCAATGTACCAAGCAATAAATCCATATAATAAACAATCAACTACAAACATCAGTAAAATTAAGCCAACCGAAAAATGGTTATCGCCTTTTCCACTAATAAATAGAGTGGAGAATTGAAGACCTTTTCTTTGAGTTTCAAGTGACATTATAGGTGTATAAGCTAATGATATCGCATAATTTGGAAATAATGTGAATAGTGTTTGAATTAGAATGTTTGGAGAATTATTTAATAACTGCTTCGGTAACATGTAAGAGACACACCATACACTACTACCAACAATTAAAGCAATCAATGGCTGATTGAAGAAACTACTAATTGCAAAACAAAAAAATACTCCAGCAATCATATAAGTCATTAATAAAATCCAGAAGAGTAATGGATTTGTATAGTTTAATATCATTGTTGTTTGGCTAGTAGATGTTCCAAAGCAAGTAATAAACGTGATGAATGTGATTGATATGGCATATAGAAAAAAGTTGTGTAATATCCATCCTGTCCATATCATCCATGGCTTAAGACCCATAATTTTCATCAATTCTTTTACGCCCGAATCTTTTTCTTCAACGACTCTCTTAATTGTATAGGCACACATTAACAAAAAACTTAAAACTGTGAGTAACGGAATAATTGAATCTAATATAATTTTAGATGATGAACCTTGCATGTAATTTGTATAAGGATATGACTGAATTGCTAAATTATAGTCATTTATATTAAGACCACTTTTATTATTTACACTCATCAAAATAAAAGCTTTATCTAAGGTTAACTGTAATGCTACAAATCCCATTTCTAGGTATTTTAAACCTTCATCCATAGGTCCAGGTAATTCCATTATTGGAAACAATTCATTTGTTGTCCATGATTCATATGTGCTTCTTATCTTGTATTTTAAAACCTGGGATATTATAGTTTCTTCAAAAACAATTCCATATCCACTATGCAATAAATTATTTTGACCATTATTCGATTTAGTTTTAAATTTGTCTATCATTTCATCTTCATTAATAGCTGTTCCAATGTTTTCAGGTAAAATATTCAATTTTGTTTTTACAGTGTTCATAATTTGTTCTGTTTCAATAGTGTGTGGAGTATATATAAAATCAAACGATGATATTGCAGTCTCAAAATTTTGATATAAAATGTCTTCAGAAATAGGGCTTGGTATACTTTGGTTTATCATTATAGGTTCATGTGTTTTACTGTCTGAAACTAGATAATTCATAAAAAAAAATAACAAACATGGTAATAATAATTCAATTATAGTATTTAACCAATGTCGTTTTCGTAGTTTTAAGCTTTTCCATAAAAGAACTTTTAGTTTTAGCCACATCTTTACTTAGTTTCTGAAAAAAAAGAGAACATAATATAGGTATACCTACTTTATAAATATAATCATAGGTGCAAATTGACTAAATTTTTTGGGGGGACTCAAGCCCCCCTCCACAAAGGTCTTAATATAAGTAAAACAAATGTTGGAGGGAAACGCTCTCCATAAAATCCCCCACCCACTGAGCAACTATCGTTACGGATATATAAAAATACAAAGTATTACATTTTTAGAATATATTTATTTTAACAAAATTCTCCGTTCTTTTTCGGCAAATACATTTAAAATATCTTCTGTATTTATATTATTAGATAAATCCCTTATTGCAATAAATATTAAAATATAACCTAACAAGTAAGTAATAAACATATATCTTAGTCCGTGGACCGTGGTAACAAATAATAATTATTAATGATAACAAAATGCTCAGTTCAAAAATTGGCGCGTAAACCGTCGATTGTGGAGGTCAACAGCAACCACGGCATTATTCTTTGGCTATAGATACTATAGCCGTGATCGTGACACAGCCCTCATAGTTTATCACTAGGGCTCGGATTTAAATGCCCTAAAAATATCAAAAAAATGCATTTATGACCTAAAAATATCAAAAAATGACGTTTCAAAAAATGCATTATTTATTAAATAAATTCAAATTTAATTATTATTAAAAAATGAGGAACAAAGTAAGTACCTTCGACGTAATACGCAACACGACTGAAAGCGTCCGACAATCGGCCACGCGCACCACCGATATAATATTATCGCTCGATAAGAAAATAATCCGATAATATCGGCTAATTGGATGGTGTGACATAAAGGTTGTAAAAACCGGAAAATCTGATGTTAAATTAGTTCAAATAGTTCAAAATGAAAATAATTTTTATTACGTAGTACTATATTACTATGTAGTACTTATATTTCAATGAGGTCAATTTTTTTAGGCATAATACGACAAATAGGTCAAAAATGTCCTAAAAAATTAAAAAATGCATTTAAACCGTCAAAAAATGATCTAAAAATGATGAAATCCTCTAAAAATGCAAAAAAAACAAAAAAATGCCCCAAAAAATTATTATGGTTGGATTGCGAAGTACTTGAAACATATTTGTAGCTTGGAAAGCATCGCGTAAGATATCCCAAAAAAAAGATGCAAATGCATTGAAATCCGAGCCCTATTTATCACCTATAAATTACTTATCGGTTATCAATTATCTGTTTGATCACGAGGCACGGACTAAGATATGTTATAGGATTTTTTATAAAGATTTAAAAAAAAACTAGCATAATAATAATTTTTTTTCAATAATTGTATTTTGTAATTTGGTTAAGTTTTTAAAATATATACATGTTTAGTACTACAGAATATAATAATTAGTACTAATTACTAGATTTTGAACTGGGGGGACTTGACCGAAATCTGGGGGGAATAAGTCCCCCAAGCCCCCCCCCCCTATTTGCGCCAATGAATATAATCAATAAATAGTATTATATATGTCATAATCAGACATTATTTAGTGTTAAATAAGAGATTTTTACCATAATATGATAATTATCTAATCTCTCTCATAATTATTATATTGTCTCCGTCTTATTTACGAATAACAAACATAAATTTATTTTTGATATACCTAGATCCTATTTTTTGTTGACTGTTGTAACTTGTTGGCTTAGATATTCAAGTTAATTGAACAATTATGAGACGTGGGTAAATGGGAACGGCTAAATGAACATTTTAATTGTTAGTATTTAGTATGATATAGGTATGCTAGTAAGATGGAGACCACACATTTGGGTAAAAAGACCTCTTAAGTCCTAAGTGCCTCTTTATATGTTATTAAAATGTTTAAAATTTAATCATGTATAAAATATATTTATTGTTTATATAAATTATTGATAAAAAATAAAAACCTTTACGTTTATTCATTTTTTAATCACAATAAACACAGAATCTATTTTTTCAAAAACCGGTTAAAAATATTAAACATAGTTACTTTAAAATAATACAGTATACAGTATACTGTATACATAATTACAAGTGGGATATTCAAAATTTGTATATTGTATAGATAAAATAAGGTTGAGAACTACGGAGCTATATTTATTTTCGGGTGCGTACGAGTTGACTCCCTGGTCATTATAATATATTATTTCCAATATTATATACCTACTAATCATTATTCTTAAATTTTAGTATCAGTGGCGTAGCCATTTTTTTTTTCGGGGGGGGGGGGGGGGGGGGGGCTGACCAACTTTTACACTTTTACACATTAAATACGTACTAGTACAGATAGATAGCTGAAAAGTGTTAATACTTATAGTACATTTTTAAATATTTTAAATACATTTTAAAACTTTTTGAGCGATTATCATAGACCAATAAAATAATTTTTAAATGTTCTCAACATTTCGGTTGGGCGCAGCCCCCTCAGCCCCCCCTGCTACGCCATTGGTTAGTACGTATTATGTATGTAAGTGCTTACCAAATACCTGAATGACGTTGACAACAATGAAGATCTGGTGTTAATATTATAAAATAGGTATGATATTATATTTAATTTGACAGTTAGGTAGTGTTTTACTACGGTAGCAACTTTAAACTCTGAACTTAGAAACAAATATTTTAAAGTAATAACTTATAATTGTTTTTTTACACAGCATAATATTATAATATAATAATATATAAAATGCACCGATGAAAACTGGATGCTAGAACTCGAATGAGTGACGACATGAGTCTCGAACGTTAAAAAGTTGATCAATTATTGTAATTACTGGTTTGTAATTCAGATTAGGAATCATAAAAAACTGTTTTATTCTGATCATTGTCTGACATATTATAAATACGTTTATTCCGTTTCCTAGGCATCTACAACTCTCAAATCGTTGAATTAAGTCGTTATGGGCATGTGGTAAATAAATAATGCAATTAATAACCTTCGTCGCCTAACCTTGAGAAGAGTATAGGTAGGCATATTATAGAAAATATTTTTTCTTTATGTATCAATCCATTGGGGATAAAAATGATGGAGAAATTATAATTTTCAATCGGAATTATAGTTCCGAAGTTATGGCCTTGGAAGTTTGTCATTTTTCACATTAATCACGCACAATCGCGGTGCAAAATCCCATTCAACGAGATTGCAGGAGCGGACTGGTAGCCATTTGTGTTGGTAAATTAGTTAATATTATACATAGGTACCTAGTTTATAGTAGCTATTTACTATAAGTACTAGATAGTAAGTAATTAGGTAATAACTATTTTATATTCTGAGCAATGTTGATTGATGAGTGTTTTTTTTTTATTATTGATTTTTTTAATTTGTGTCTGTCATCACCGTTTTGGACAGTAAAACTGCTTCCAAAATAAATGACCGTGAATACAAGACATTATAACTGGTTATTTATATTAGCATTTTCTATACACGATAACATTTTCAAAATATTTAAATTTGTTTTGAACTGTTAACAAACATTTTCAGTTTCCAATTTTAGATTCTGAGCGGAGCGATGAATGTATTGATTTTACAATGATGTGTGTTTTTTTTAAATTTTTTTTGTTTCTGTCATCACCTTTTATGACAGTATAAATTCTTGGATTTATATCAATAACATTTTATTTGTTTTGTAAAAGCTCGAACATTTAATACAAGGTTCCTTCTATATTGTTACAATGACATTTGAAAAATATTAAAAATCCATTCACAATTTATTTTATAAGCATTTAAAGTTCGAATTTAAGAAAAGACGTAAAAATCACAAAAAAGTAAAAATTATCTAGAGTTAGAAATTTCTAAAAATTTATTTTTTTTTTCAATTTAAGATTTTAAAATGTAATTCAAAATTCCTTATAAGGTTATTTACTTTTATCAAAAAAAATTTCTATAAATAGGTCAAAAAGCTTGAAAATTTAATATGAGGAGGATCCCCTCATACATTGTTACAATATCAGTTCAAAAATATTAAAAATACATAAGTAGTCACAATTTCTTTTATAAGAATTTAAATTTCGAATTTTGCCAAAATAATGAAAATTACCAAAATGTGAAAATTATCTGGAGTAAGATATTCATAAATTTTTTTATTTTAAAATCAAAGTTTTTAAAATGAAATACATGTTTTTTCATAAATTTTTCTACTTTTACCAAAAAAAAAAAAAAATATCCAATGAAAGTCAAATTATATTTTTATGAGCTTTTGAAGTTCCATGTGTACAACATTGAATATTCATTGTATTTCTAATTTGGTTAGCGATTTTATTATTTTGTTGTAATTCAAAAACAGATAACTGTAGATATATGGAATTTCGCAATGTATAAAATTGTATATGAAATTTTATTCGTTGGGTCTAAATGCTTGAAAATTTAATGCAATGAGGCTCTTCACACATTTTTATAATATCAGATTAAAAATATTACAAATACATAGCAAGATTTTTTTTATAAGCTTTTAAAGTTCAAATGTTAACATAATTTATCAAATTGAAAATGTACAAACTATTTGGATGTTAAAAATCCAAAACAAGGTTGCATGTAAGTAGGTAATTCTGTAACCCAAAAATCTAAAAGATATACATAGACACAGTTTTTCATATATAGTTATTTAAAATTAAAATTTTAACGAAATGGCATAATATTATTAAATAACAAAGAACAACGATTTTAGTTATATTTTTGTAATTTTCTAATATTAATTCAACTTACCGGCCTACCTACCGTATTAATAATATTTAGGTAGGTAAAATAACAATATAAATACAATATAAAATATCGTAGACTGACAATATACCATCTCTGCTCAGAATCGTTTTTTTGTATACATGTATCATTGCAATGATATTATATCATTGCATTCAA